AATAAAGTCTTACCTTCGTAGTGAGTAGTTTTCTAACACCAACTCTTCACACATACTAAGGTACCCCGGGTAAACTCATCGACTTGACTAGATCGTCGATACCGTCCATCTTAACTGTTTTCAATGGATTTTTACAAATATCCTCTTACCCGTGTGAAGAGTTGGTGTTAGAAGACTATGGGGAGGACTCGTTGAGAGAGATTTAACTAGGTTCCTGGTTGACCGCGCATTAACGGTCTCTCAGCTGCACAAGAAGTTCCTTCCACGCATTAGAAAAATTCCGAACGGCCGTTAATTTGAAATTCTCGCTGAATTGGTTGCTCGACAAACCGACTTTTGTGGCTTTTTTTTCGGTGAACTCAAAGGGCAACTATTTGGCTTTCGTGCTGCCGAGTTTTGATTCGAAGGAAAGTATTGTTTTCGAGCGATTTTGGCGAGCATGTGTCAACAGAAATTTTCGACCTTCCCGTATTTTATGCACGGCAATTTAGGGCGTCAAGCTAAAACACATCAAAACGGCCTCAAATCGCGAGGAGAACAACACAGACTACTTTTACGGAGCTCAAAAGCAAGTCCAACTAAACCACTATACAAACTCTTGAATTATTCACTGTGAAAGAGCCTGTGACAGAGCTTGGGCCACCCGTGTCTCAAATGGACTAAATGCCCGGCAGTTAGAAATTTTCTTCAAAATGGCACTGAAAGGTTCCTTGAAACTTCTAAAGAGTATCAGCTGTTTGTTTAGAAATGTCATGCGATTCCAAAAACCAGTTTGGTTTTTCATTGTGCATACTTTACCTTTAATTTAATAATATTAATGGCTCAACTGGTTAAAATGAAATGCGTTTTAGAATGGTACGTTTAAGCTTGACCACACTGAGAAAAATCAACATTTGTACGCAAACTTCAAATATTATCAAGAGGTTTGTTACTTTTTCAGTGCCATTTTTGTGGAATTTTTCAACTGCCGGGCATTTAGTCCATTTGAGACCGTGCCCGGCAGTCTGATCACAAGCGTAAAATTTCCAATGTCGAAAACCGAGCAATATTAATTATGGTACGCACAACCTCGGATAGTTTATCCACTGAAAAAACTTATTAATTTTCGAATCGCTTCACATCTCTTTTTGAATCAAACATCTGATATTCCTAGGAAGTTTAAAAGAACCTTTGGGTGTAATTTTTTTGAAAATTTGCCGCTGCCGGGCTTTGAGTTTATTTGAGACCGTACCGGGCTTCTGGGCATCTAGTCACAGCTATAATATTATAGGTGATAAGTTACTCCTTAATTTCGGCGCGACATTTCAGCGTTAATTTTTAATTACACATGTGAAATTATAAAATTGCAGTGGTAACATCTCTTGTATCTCGATCAGAGCCAAGATTGCGTCGAGATTTAAGACCGTGACCCTTGAAGAAGTTACGAAAGTAAAAGAAGCGGCAGAAAACTCAAATAAGCGAAAGAGCACAATTAACTGAGTGCGAGTTTTTGAGAAGTGGTGTGACGAAAATAGCCTTGAGAAAAACCTGGAGATGATTCTTCCCGAGCAGTTGGATAAAGTACTCGAGCGATTTTACGCCTCCGTGAGCAAACAAGAACAATTACGGTTGTGAACGTAATTTGTCACCCACGATATTAAAAGGTAGTCAAATGGTTTTCTCGTGAAATTAGGAAATAGTTTCGTAATTTCACTCGTCGCTATTTGATTACACATACTAATTTCATGTGCATCTGCGATGAGCACAATACCTATTGAAGGTATTGTTGGAGTTGCTTTTCTTGTAGATGGCTATTTTGGGCCTTAAATTTACGGTCATTTCATTGCATGTTGTGAGTGGATTGCAGCCAACATAGCGAATATACAGCTTGATAAAGCGTGGACGATTTCCTTCAATGGCTGGACAGGATCCGAAAAGAACTTTGCGAGCAAGATCATCGCCGAACACATCTTCTAGAGGGGATTGGAGAGTGATTATGTTCATAAGATAACAATTACCCATGAATTCCCTCATCAGTCCGATGTTGAATTTTACAAGTGCCAGCTGTGCAATCGAGTCGTAGGACCGTATCAAAGTGCTCCAGATCGCTGTTTATTATCGACGAAATGGACAAAAAGAAGAGCAGTAGGAGGAAAGGAATGAAGCTAATTTCATAACGACTTGTTACCCTTTATTGCTAATGGTTGAATAACTGTTATTGAAAATTAAGTTTTCGCGGTAATATGTAAGTTTATATTCGTCTATTCTAACCTGGTAGTTCCTCATTTCAGTTTCATTTTGAGTTCATGCATATTGTTCAATGAACAATACATCAATTGATTATAAATCATGGAAACAGTCAGTTGGAAAGTCCTTGAAATAACAATGAAGCCTAGAAACGTAAATCTGAAAACTCTAAAAATTATGTCCTAGGACATCATGGACCTTCTGCGTCCTTGGTCTCTGTCTCGCATTTCTACTGCAAGCTGGAACGCATGAATCACGTGCTTTACGCAGACTTCATCGGGAATCTCGTCCAGGTCGGAGCTGTCGTCAAAACTCATCGATAAGTACTCACTGAGCCTGAAAAAGAAATGCGTACGGTGGAGCAGTTTTGAAGAACAATATTGAGTAAAGGGTTGTATGTTAAAAGGTTGCGGTTATAAATAGCTTATACTTCATAACAAGGTTATAAGCTTTTGGTTGAAAGCACCTTTAGCTTTTAACTTTGTAGGTTCATCTATGTTTCAAGTAAGAATTACCTCAGTTCACCGGTTACGTCTTCTTCATGAGTAAGCATCAAACTGATGACTTCGATGATTCTACTCAAAAACAAATCAACGTTTACTTTTTTCAATGCTGCACTGAAACGTGTGATTGCGGGTCGCTGCATTTCTTGTTTAAAAATTTCTGAGATCTTCTCAAATGGATCCTAAAGGAATTGAAAAAAAATAAAATCGGCTTAAAAGAAACAGACAAATAAATTCACGGTCGAACCTGAGACCACAATTGCATAGACCACCCCGGAAACGGGGAGACGTGGTTGTTATAGACGGGTGGTCATTAAAGGATGGCTGACATAGCTAGGGGCTCTATGTGCGTTAGAGGATCTTGAGCGATGGGTGTCAATGATGCGAGAGGGAAGGGACTTCTTTGTTCGTCGCTCAGTGCATATAAAACATTAAATCGCACACAAAGCTGCCAGCCACTCAGATTATTATTGGAAGGTAGAACGGTGCAACATGATTTCTTCTATTTAGAAGGTTAAAGAATTGATTACAAGAGAGGTTACACCAGTAGAAACCAGAAGGATGAATGAGGGAAGACAATTTAGTCAGTCATTCGATTTAGCCGGGAGTACAACTAACAGGAGCCGTCTGCTTAAGTGCGCTACCACCCATTTTGCGGTATTTGTAAGTTTGTGATTAAGAGGCCGTTGTTAGCGTTAATTATGGCTGATGAAATGCACTCCGTTGTGGTGGCCTGTAAGGCAGGAGGAGCCCCATAGTGTGGCCGCTGTGACAAAACAGTGGCCATTGCAAGGAGGTATGCTTAAACCGTTAAGAGGGGAAGCAGCCTCTTAGAATCCCCCAAAAGAATTGTCTTTGTGATGATGATGTAAAAATTCAAGACGAGAACTCATGGGATTCGATTCAATTATTCCATGAAAACATACCTGTCCATGTTCAAATAAGGATTTCGCACGCGCCACGGCGAGTGTGGACCACAGATCCAACACATGAACCAGACAGCAAAACTGTTGAGCCTGAAAGATAATGATGTACCAGTTAAGGTTTTTCTGCAGGGAAAATTTAGAGATCCCTGGAGCATAAATCACTGGTTCCCTCTGCTGTTACCGAAGTTTTAAGTTGTATCCTGTGCAGATTCGCAGAAGATTTCGTTAGTTTCGCAGCAACCCATTAAAGGGCACGATGAAGTAGCAACTATAGCTGGCTTAAATTCAGTAAACGTGATGTCAGGCTGAGCACAGTCATGGTAATGGATGTTCATAAAGCATTCTAGACAAAAGATTTGTGAGCCCGGTGGCTACCCCAGTGTTCATATGAATCTGGCGTTCAACTGAAGTCCTGCGTTTGATCAAGAAAATAAGGAACCGTTTTTCAAAACATGTTTAAAAAAAACATCAGGTTGTTGTATTTTAATCCCTCCTGTATTATATCTTATTAACCAAGCGCGAGGGCCGTACTGGGAGAATATCGGCCCGAGGTCTTGACAGTACGGACCGAGCGCAGCGAGGTCCGTACAAAAAAGACCGAGGGCCGATATTCTTCCAGTACGGTCCCGAGCAAGCTTGGTTAATAAGAGATTTATTATACGACTGAAGTTCAAAGGGAAAAAGGTGCGGTATCATTCGGGACCATTCGGGACAGCGCCCGGTCCAATACTTAGAGAATATTGGACCAGCAATAGAGCATTTTGATTGGTTGATTTTAGTTATTGGCCCTCTGACTGCCCGAGTCATGTAATAAGAAGAAATATTACCCACCTTCTTACTCTTTAAGCTCGACTTTCCATCACTGAGACGAAGAACACGCTTGAGATAATCGCAGATTTTTGTTTCTGGATTTCCACCTGCCTTGGACAAGAAACCAACCGCCATTTCCAGGGTTGAGAGCAAATCACTCACGTCCCTGAGGTCTTTCAAATCCGCAAGAATCTGGGTACGGCTACGACTATCAATTGGCTCCTTTAAAAAAACACAAAAGACGACAATTTTGTTTAGGCACTGAAAAAAAAGGATCGAAGAGAAATTTCAAATTGCGAAAGGGGCTTAATTTTGCGGTTTTTCGAAATTAAATTTCCAAATCTGCAGAATCAGTTAAGATTTTTCGTACAATCGCAGCTAGATTTCAGTCCATTGATCGTGTATGCAACCGCTCTGTGACGTTCTTTATGGTCTTTGAGCTGATTACTATCTACCTTTTTTATACTATTACATGTTAAAGAAGAGAAGTAACTTTTCTTCAGTCGTTTGTCCAGAGCTGGCATTGGAATCTGGGCAGTGTAATGTCAAACATTACGACTATCTCTAGCCTCTAACTGTAATTTCTGGTGATTTCTATCCGATATCTTTGACAAATTAATTCATTTTTCTTGAAGAGAGAAGGCACCAAAAATGGTGAATATCACAGCTCTAACCTGTGGAATTTTTTCCCTCAAGTTGTCGAAGGACACATCGCGGTCATCTTCACGAAACACGAAATCATCCAGCTAAAAGAGAGTTGTAAGTATTGTCTGAATTTACTTCATGAGAGTTATTTTACATCGCATTTTTTGTTCACAATTATTCGCTGGATAGCGATATATCCATGGAATAGCATTGTCTGCCCACTGGACATCTTAGCCCTGGTCTACAGAGTGTGAGATTCCTCTAATCTTTTATACGCTCGATATAAGATCTACGTCACGAAAACTAGCGGAATCCATAAAGAACCTTCAACCAAACTGGTTGAACAGTAAAAACGACCAAGGAAAATACCGCCGACTTCAAGTTAACAGAAAAGCTACAGAGGATTAAAATACCGAATTTCCATTTATGGCTTTTAAAACTTCTTTTAGTTTAACATATCTACTTTTCGTTTTGTGCAAATTTAGTAAACCTTCCAGGAAGCTATGATTTTGTCTCTAGGACCGTAAATTTTTCTTACCACGGAATAGAGGAAATATTTACCTTCAATTCCACGATAGGCCTTCCCCGTAAGTACCTATCAACTATCTGCTTCTGGAGGGCTTCCCAGTTGTACTGCAATGATGTTTCCTTTCCTACCTCTAGTGAGTAGGTGCAGTTAGCTAGCATCACAGGTAGCAAGTCCTTTTCCGAGTCATACGCTACCAACTGCGACATCGAAACTTCCGAAAGGGGAATCTTAGCAGTGGAACTATCAATCAGATAAAATGAATTATGCACGGGTAAGTAAAAGAAACAAAAAAAAAAGAAAAGGAAGCAATTCTGTAGTTGAGGGATTAGGAGAGTACGGGGTTCCTCGCATGCTGGTTCGCCCCCCTTGACCAACAAAATAAAATTTTTTTGACAATAATAAAGCATTCTGATACACCCTCCAATGACAGTAAGATGCCGGAGAATCATAATCAAGTATGTCGTCAATGGCAAAGTGAATCTAAAGAGTCATTACGGTGCGTCTGTGTCAGACCTCACACCCTTGAGCAACGCGCCTACAACCATTGGAGGAAACTAACAAAACATCGATAAGATGTCAATTTTTATCGATTTATCGAGTACATATTAACCTCTTAAAAGAGATACTGTAGAAGCCACAAATTTGGATGTAAAATTAGAAAACGAGGATTAAGCTCACAATGGTCTCTTAAAGATAAGACCTCAAGGCAAACGATATGAGATCGTTGCTTTGATTGGTTGGAGATTTTTAATGTTAATGACTGGCTCTGCTTACGAAATTGTTCGGCGATATTATTAGTGATATAAGTTTCAACTTCTTAATAATCGTGCGGTAGTAATGACGTCATAAACATTCAATGAAGTATGACTGGCCGTATACTCGAACGTGAATTTGGAAATGAACAAATTCAACATACCGTGCGCTTTCGTGAGAGCCAACAGCACCGTGATATGCTTCTACCATATCATTATTTGCATTGACCAAATAGAACAGCAAAGCTTTGCAACAAACACCTGAGCCATCGTTTGTTGGTAGTAACAAGGATACGGTGGAGGCCATTTCTATTGGCTCAGAGCATTGTTCTCGAGAAAGCGTAAAACGACCTGCCGAAGAGAAATATTAACGTGCAAGAATTAGTGAGAAATAGTTAATGAATCTAAGGACTAATTGCCCTTCTGTTCTTGTTCTGACACACACACACACACACACACACACGCGCGCACACACACACGCACACACACACGCGCACACACGCACGCGCACACACACACACACACACACACGTTCGTTTTTCAAGCCTTTCGATGCTCAATTTCTCACCTGGTGAACACAGCTGATGGCGAACCTGATCCCAAGCGGCGCAAAAGCTTTGGAATAACTTTTTGAACTTGTCTCTCTGGTCTGAAAAATGAAATAAACGTTAGTTTAAACCTAACTCGCATTCTGTGAGCGTAGCTATATGGAGTTAAAGAACCGAAAAAGGGACATCTTTTTAAAGCTGAAGCACCACCCATTTATTACTCCCTGTAGGATGGAAGTGAGAGGGACGGTGCTTGATGCATTTAACCATGCATCCTCGCTGTCGCTCAACGAGTGCTGTGGCCGTGTTAGGTCCGGTCCAAACCGAATAACATGTTCTTTTCCGGTGAGAATAAGCTTGGAATTTCGCATCACGAGGATATCACTGTTATAGCAGCTGTCGTAAAAGTGGCAGAAAAGACGAAAAAAAGCTGCTTCGTCGTCGTTGTCATCGTTCTATTGGTGGATTATTCTACTTCGTCATCCGGAAGCACGGGTAAGACTGTAAGGCTGGGAAATCAGTCAGTCGTGTAAGTATTGAGTTATCTGTGAGAAGGCAGTCCCGAGAAGAAGTCTCGTTAGCGACTAGACGTGCGAATGATACTTCGGTTACTTGATGGAAGATATCATCAGAGTCAAAAATGGAACCGTTTGGTTTTTGGCAGTCGAGTACACGGAGACAGCTCCTTGAAAATCATCCTTCCGAATAGTTTTCTTGTGATTTTATGCACTGCATGCGTAAGGCACTGTCAGGCCTACTTCATCCATAAAGCAAGATTGTACAGCCTAGTCTACTACATGGTTTACCTTTGGACAATTTTTGCAAAAACTCTCGTATGGTGAGCTTATTGGCATCTTCTCTGTCGATTCGTCGATAAAACCGGTCAGTTAGTACTCTTAGCAAAGTCAGTATGTCCGGCAGGTGACGAACTGCTCGAAGTCTGTGTTCCTGCGACAAAGAAAAATATTCCTTTTCATTTGCATATCGCTATTCATATAAATTCAATGTATTCGTCAACATCAGTGTCTGCCCCTTGCTAAACAGTTTGCTTAAATTGAAATTACCTCCTCCAAGAACTTTCCTAGGACTTTACATGAGGCCATGTTTGATTTAACGTCTTGGAACTGACGAATCACGTGCTCAACAGTCAAACGTGTCCTATATTTCCAGAAGGCTGCGTGGCCAGGATGGATGTCTGCTGCCGAGCGAGGAAGTGAAAGGTCGTCCACCTCGTAAACCTCTCGCATCAGTGGATCGTTCCCTGCATTATGAAGCAGAAAATGCAGAGTTTCCCTTGAAAAGTCTAACTCCTTGTTCGGAGACTGGTACGTAGGTGTTTGGATGAGGGAACTTCTTTAGAAAATAGGATTTTGCACAAGTGGTGACACATTTTAGCTAACTTTTGCAACAGACGTCCGACGTAAACTATCTAGATAACATTACTACAAATCATTGTTAGATTGCCTGCATTTTGGTGTCTTCACATGGTCTGATGAGGAGAGGGAGAGATCTAAAAAGGCATGATTTAGAGTCTTGCTTGTTGCGAGTACTACAAAATTCAAAGTTTGATTTCGTCTCACGCTTTCTACCTGATTTCATATTATAAGACGCGTCACTCGGTTGCGCCTCGTGCGGCACGTTTTTGCTTTTACTACATTTTGACTTCATCTGTGATCTATTATTGAAGAGACGCACGGCAAAGGAGTAGTTGGACTACTAGGTATATCATAGTTGTCATTGTAATATTTTCTGTGACTGTTTATCTTTTGAAAAGAGTCAGTTTCAAGAGTGAATTGTTTGAAATTAAAGTCGTCATTACCTAGTCTTCTGTCGTTTACAGACAGGGCATAGAATTTTTTCAAATGTTCGTCAAGGTTCTGTGAAAGTTAAAATAAAAATGTACCAAAATGGTTAATACATGCACAAGTAGTCTATCTTCAGGGTGGATGAATAAAGGGATACGTTTCTAAAGAAACTGTGGTGCTGCGTCGGTGGGGTAACGAGGTAATTTGGTTTTATCAACTAAGCTGAAATAGTAAATTGGCCACCGTAAAGAGTTAAAGTCGAAACGTAAGCTTTTTAAAATAAAATAATAAATAAAATAATTTAGCAATGGACATTCCACTGGGTGGCTCTTCTTGTCCAGATCGAATTGGAATTTGGAATGTTGGTGTTTGCGGAGGGAGGAAAACCGGAGGACCCGGAGAAAAACCCTTGGAGTAAGGACGAGAACCAACAACAAACTCAACCCACATGTGACGCCAGGTCAGAGAATCGAACCCGGGCCACAGTGGTGGAAGGCGAGCGCTCTTTACGCTCTTTACACTTTAAACTTAGTTGATGAAACCAAATTATCTTTAGGGTGATCTATCAATGGAGCGCGCAGTTCTTCGAAATCTGTTTTTTTTCCATTTGCCGATGACAAACCCATTAGTTGTTGAACCACAAGCAAAGCTTTATTGAGAACATTGTCCAAATGTAATAATGGGACTTTTAACAACACGTCTTTCTGAAAAATGCAGTGAACTTTAGACCTTAAGACCAAAAACAATCACAAAACGATAAAAATATTTCGAAGAGACACTTCGCAAAAAATAAAAGAAAAAAGAAAAAGTAGACTAAAATAATCGAAATAATGAGTATCCTAGAAAGAGGAGGAAGACCTCCTACCGTGAAGAGAGGTCTTGCAAATACGGCCGAAAACTCGTTCTCCCACTGTCTTCTCTTTTCTTTAGTTGACCACTTTTCAGCACCATCAGTTTCTCCTTAAAATGGATATCAAAACAATGATACAAGTTAACTATAAAGAGTATCAGTTGCTCAGATATCATATGACTCTGATTTGGAAGTCTATCGATACACCTGTCTTTTCGATAAAAACAACTTTACCTCTTAAAAAAGAGTTAATTTGTAATAATGAGAATAGAAGCCGTTTTTAAGCGTGGATTTTAACAAATGTAGAAGGGGATTAAGAAAAAGATCAAGTTCAGAATGGCTGTGAGGGAGCTCCATATAGATGATTCCAGGAGGACCTTGAGATAGAAAAATTATCCTATGATGCATTTTTTGGATCAATATCAGTATGTAAAAAACCACGTACCCACCCCTCCCCTAACCCAACGTTGATCCTAACTTGTTATCAGTTGATTGTTGCTGCGATAGGGGAGAGGAAGGCGCACAGTTGCTCGGGTAATCATATGAGGCCAATAGTCAATCAAAATGTACATGTATTAACGTTTCAGAAAACCAGTTTAGCAACTTACATTACTCTTACATTACTCCTCTCTTGGCCTATTTGAAGTTATCAAAACTAACTGGACTTACTGGCTGTTGAACGGTCCACAATCGTCGCTAAAAGGTGATGAACTATCAGCAACACTTCATCCACGTTTCTTTCCAGGCTGGCCGATACATTCTCTAAATCATTCACAAGATGGTCCCAGAGGAAGCCAGTTACATTACCTGGCTCAACATCTAGCCCACGTATAAGCTGACTAATGGCCTAGAGGAATGTGCAGATCGATCTTATAAGAGTGGTACTCTATAGTCGGAACAGTGCTCAGAACTTAAAGTCCCTATTCACCACCAGAGGTTTATATATATTTCGATTCTTTGCGTTATCAAGATTAATCTCCAAAACCAATTTTTGCGATTGATTAATTATTTCCCGAGATATGCCGCCTCAAAGTTAATCTTTTCGCCACGCCCTTTTGACTTGGCTGGGAGAGAGTTACTGAGTCGAGTCTCGTGCCTACTACCTCTCCAACATTCAGTGACGTCCCAGCAAGAACGAATGTTAACTTCTTGTATAAGAACATGTGTCTATTGCTGTAAAATGATGTGAAAATGCCGACTCGTTGCGTGGTCGCTGGTTGCTCAAATACACCAGATTCGTCTTAAGACATATTCCTCCATGAAATACCTTGAATGTAGGCACATCGATCGAAAGACGTTCTGGCTGTGACGTCATGGGGGACTTTTAGTTACCAGAGTATTAACTTCGCCCTGCCAAATTAAAAGGGCGTGGCCAAAGGACGAACTTTGAGGCTACATATCTCGGGGAATATTTAATTAATTAAGAAAAAATATTTTTTGAGATTAATCCTAATAACGCAAAGAATGGAAATATATATAAACCTCTAGGGGTGAATAGGGACTTTAATTTGAGAAATTGAGGCTTGCTTTAAAAAACCTCACGATTACTGAACAAATTAGTTAAGAAAAATACCTCTAAGATACTAACCCTTTTACTTGGCTTAGAACTAGGAAACCTCACAAACCATTATATAATTTACCTCAGGATATTCTTGGGCTCCGGTCATCATGGCTGAATGGAGAATGATCCTCAGGAAGCTTACCATAGAAGGAGAAAGATCTCTTTCAGTGACTGTAAAACGTCGAGGTGCTCCCAAGATATGCCCTTTGTTAGAACGGTCGATCCTGAAAATAACACGTACGATAATCCATCAAATGTTCCCGCGAACGCCCGATTGATTAAAGGTGGCTACAATTGGTTTCGTTATTTCAATTCTTTGACGGATCTCAGCACCCGCATGTTTTTGTTTCCTTGGCAAAAGTATCAAAATAAATTCCTAGCCACTTCTCAATAACTTAATATCAACCCAACAAACAATTTCATGTTCCCTCTACCGGAGATGGTAAACTACCTTCCTTCGTCTCGACGAATTGCAAGGATCCACTGTTTTCCACTCAGAAGCGAACGGGAAAATCACAGCAAACCCTCAGGACCTGACTTGCCTCGCTTTCGTGTAATTTTCCCCAAGTAGATGAATTTTCGATTAAAAATTTGCTGTACACCACAACTATTCCTAAAAAGCTCCTCTACTTATAAAGGTAAACCAAATGTTGCATTGTCTTGAAACAATATCACTTGCCTGCATGCCTCCCTGTTGTTGGCAACCAGTTCATGTTTAAGTCCTCCAATTGGCGACTCGCAAGTGGGGCAAAAGCTCTCCTCGTCTGGTCTTCCACACTATCAGGAATAATGGATACAATCTACTTTAGGGGCAATTTTATAAGAGAACCTCCCTTTCAGAGCAGTCAGTAAATTGGAAAAAATAACGATCTATTAATCAGTCGATCGGTCAATCAATAACTGAATCATTCAGTCAGTCAGTCCACAGTTACATGATCGATAGACAGTACTTACGTCACCAATAAAGTAACGATGACCATTTGGACACTCTGAAAAACAAAGAAGTAATTTTTGACCCTAGGAGGCACGATAGAATTTTTAATATTCATTTGTGTAATACCTAAAACTTCCATCAGTAACATGCAAAGCATTTAAAACATAATTGACGAGATAACAATGGTAGACATCTACCTATAGGAAGACTCTGAGATCTACGACGACGATCGCACGATATCAGCAGGAAAAAACGGAGTACATTAATCCCATCAGGGAAATAAATATGAGATGCAATACTTACGATACCATTTTCCACCTTCTGTCATGGCTGAAAGAGTCTCATGAAAATTGTCTTCTGGCATTGTTGGAAGAAAAGAGTCCTGCAAGGTAAGTGGTAAAAGACGTGGCAACAGTTACAAAAAGAGAAAATCGGGTCTTGTACAAACTTATAAGCCACTTTTTGAATTGAGCACCATCTAAGTATCCTTTTTCTTGCGTGTGATATCTTGGCTTGAAATTTATGTGTCGCTGCGAGAGACTTTTCCCATCATTATACCGGATTTAAACAGGTCGCTGACAGCTCTTAGACATATTTTGAAAACCAATGCCGTTTAGACGCACTTGACAACTGAGCACGTTCTCAAGAGACGTTCGTTATCATCGATACCCAACCACACAGGTTTCAGCCGATCTAAGAACTGACGACCATTTGGACTCACCAGCATTTCACGCGGAGCGAGAAAAATTTCCTTTAAAGGGTTCAGCAACTCGTCAAAATCTATGCACCGAAGGACGGAAGTCACGTGAAACAAGATATCAGGCAAAGCCTTCTCCGCTTCTCTGCGGGTCTCTTGGACGGTAAGCACCGGAAATCCCAGGCCGAAAGGATTCCTCAAAAGACCAGTGACCAAATGTTGCGCCTGTTCGTTAAAAAAAAAGGAAAATTAAATGATATGACTTAATAATTTCTGTCCTAAAATCTGTTATAATCGTAGTATAAGTAGTAATGGTGATGTCAGCAACATATTGTAAGTGATGTCAGCAATATGTTTTTGGTAATTGGGATCTTATAAAAGCCAAAATGTATCTTGATCAATTTCAACAACACTACCACCTGCATGTTGTATGATGGGCCATAATACAAACAATATCAATAATCTTTCAGTAGTTGATCATTCAAAAGACATGCATGAGGAATATAGCTACGAGCTAGACTTCCTTAAACCCTGCGTTGTGCAAAAGTACTGAGAAATATAGATATTTTGACTTACAGTGATAGAAAGAAATCTGACCCTTGACAGGATAACGTCAGTAATTACAGCACATTTCTAAAGATGATATAACATTACGTTGTTAGTGGGTACAATATACGGCACAATTATAGGTAGTAAACAAATCATAATCTTGTTGCAACTAACATTCCATCGCTCGCAGCGACCGTGGGAAAGATGAAGCGAATCCTGTGTTCTGATTGGCTACCCGAGCGGGCAAGATGGGCCCATCTTGCCCGCTCGGGATTGCCTGCATTGATCCCGCGCATGAAAAAAAAAAAAACAAAAACAAAACAAAAAAGAATTAGAACCACGTTCGTAATTCTTGGACAATTTCGGCGATGGAAACGCAAAAAGTTGGCAGGAGATAGTCAAAACAAAGAAAACAGAAACGACTCTTGTGAGTTTTTGTGCTACAATCACATTTGGCTTTCTTTCTAGGCTCTCGAAGTAAACAAGTCATTCCTAATTCTTAATAAAGCGAAATCTTTTTGCAATGTAATAAATCCTTTATCAACCAAGCTTGTTTGGTAAAGATGGCTGGATATTAGCCGCGTTCTTTTTTCGCATTCAATTTTGTGCACCTCGATTTCGTCTCGGTCCATAAAAATGCAAAAAAAAGACCTCGGCCACTATCCAGCCATCTTGACCTCACGCTTGGTTAATAACCCATATATATATAAAATATATTGATCTTTTTGTCATGTTTGGTCTGAAATGACGAAACAAATGAGGAAATATAATGGAAGGAAACAACTTTATCACTCACTTCAGGCTGAAACTGCAAGTTTTGGGCCCACATTCCTTGCGGCACTGCGATCTCTCGATACAAAGCCAGAAGAAGAATGATATCTTTAGCGTGTTGCCTCGGTACCTCGCGCAACTTCTGAAACACAACAGATGGTATAGGGAAGTGAGTAAGTTCCTTTTTTACATTTTATCGTTTGTCAGTAATGGTATGCAAGTAATAGACCACAATTTCACCTCGCGATCGGGTAATTTATGAGTTTTTTGTGCTCTCTTAACATCCCACTAGGGTTATTGAACTAGTAAACCAAGAGCAGGTGCGATCTGGTGTTCCTAAAAAGTAACTACGAGTTTAACAATACAATGAACGATTAGCTTTTGACAAATCAGGTCGTACATTGTATAGTTAGCTATTGTCGCGGTACGAGTAACATTTAATAAGTGATACCAAACACGCTTAAATACTTCAAAATTTATTCATAGCGGTTCTTACACCTTTTTTTTTCTTGCAGTTTCATATGGACAGAAGGTGAAGAACATTTGAGTACCAAGTTCTTTCTTAAGTGCTGAAAAAGGTTTATTAGTTACCTCTAATGACGCAACTAGTTCATCCGTGTCGTTGCTTAACATTGCTCTGGCTATCGAGTCTCTTAATTCCTGATATAACTCTCCATACACAAGAAACCGATCCAGATTCATCTCAGCGTCCTGTTGACAGTTTTTAGTAAATATATAAACCTTTTTTTGTAGTATCTTCTCGAAAACATACTGCAAAAGTAATGATAGACACCCTTTCACTGTTGCACTGTTTGCTTGTAAAAATGGTTTGCACTGTTGCACTGTTTGCTTGTAAAAACGGTTTGCAAAAAGCTATGCAGAATTTGATCGAACAAAGGGAGAATGCAGGCACGGTGACGACCGTTACGAGACTTGAAGTGCGCATGCTGATTAAAAGAACATAACGGATTACAACAGTTCATTTCGCTGTGCACCAAGGGTATGTATCTGAAGCTAGTTCGATAGGGGACATCTCCTGAGCTTTTAAGAAGACCTACCTGTAGAGGAGTAAAATAATGTATAGCTATATGCGCCAACGAGGGTAAACAGTACTTCGTGGTTACTCTTTTACATTAATTAAAATGCATAAGATTAAGTTCAATCTGAAATATAATTTTGTTAACCGCCCCACCTCACTTCGTTGAAATTCAGCGGGAACGATCCACGCAAGATCCGGCTTTTCAGACACGGTAACAATGGCATGTCCCCCGTAACGTTTCACTAGCTGTTTGAGTAGAAAGAGAGCAGGAGATTTGGAACCTGGCGGACCCAACGAGCAAAGGGCCTGAACGGTATTGAAGAAGTATGCCATTGTATCTCGCGTATCCCTTTGAAGCCACTTTTCATCGTCGTTAACACAGCTTAGGTATAGGTAGTACGCCGCTATCCTTAAGCAGCAGCGTGCTTTAGCCACTGCTTCCAATGAATCTACCTGGATTTCATCAAAACTTGTGAAGTCTTCCTGCAACGTGCTTAGTGCATCTTGGCAAATCTTGTTAACGCTACCAATTTGCAGTGGAAGATCGAGGCTAGCGCACATGGCCAATGTACCATCGTGGTAGTTCTGCAGATTAAAAGGAATATGAAGTGAACAGTCAGTAAAATGCAATTCCATTAAATAAATAGTGCTTTTCAGCAACCGAATTTGAGGTATTTTTGTTTTTCATTAGGTTTGAAGTTTTAAATTGGAAGACACGAAATAGCTCGCTTACAAGCCTTGATTAATTTCTATTGCTCATAGCCATAGATTATAAGCCCTTCCTCCTGTGCTAACATATTTTGGTAGGTTTTTTTCTTCTGTCTCAGATCGCTATCTTCTACTATAACTGCTTTGTTCCAAATTAGAATAAATCCATATGTACCTCCATACACTGCACGGCAAGTAGACAAACATTGAGGATATGAGGCACCTCTGAAGACAGGCCTTGAGCTTGGAAGAGGAAGCGCTCTAGGTGTTGCTTGGCTTTTTTGTCACTATTAGGAGATCATTAAACGAAGAAGAAAGGTTAATTGATATGAAATTGTTTTTTACGAGAAAAACTGCCTGGAGAATAATAGTCATGGCGATCAATAACACTCCGTGTGAAAGAGTAAATGTGCGGGTTTTATAAGAAGTATCCAATCTTTAAACAAGTTTAAGAAAGCTATTAATACTTTTATTTGCAAAAGATTTTGAATTCTTTCTATGTAATTTTTATATTTCTACATCCTCTTAGTGTACATTTTTAGTTTTTAGTACCTTTGTAGAGTTGAATTTTTAACATTTAATTTTAATGTACAGTTGAAAATTTTTATATTGATAATTGCACAATATAAGTCAATAAAGTATTATTATTATTATTACTTTATCAAGATATCTTCAAAAAGTTTATCAGATAAAGTCGTTAAACGCGTTAAAATATATGGAGAGACGCACCTTGAATTGATGAGCTGCTGCAAGAGGAATGATCTCACAACAGGACTACTGTCTGTTCCAGATTCAGGAAAAGGTGAGAATTCCCTCGTTGCACCAGCAGAGTATGTTCCCGTAACATATTTCATGAGCATTTCAAATACGTCTGGATCCAAATTACGCACGTCGTCTCCAAAGCAAAACAGTGAAATAATCTCCATGAAGAATGCGTTGCAACGATGGATAAATTTAGCCTGTATTTCAGAGTCTTCATTTCTAGTAGAAACAATATTAACAAAACTGCATGAGCACGTAAGGAAGTATTAGATGAAATAATAAAACTGGGCTAACTACACTGGTCACATGGTTTGTACGCTGTAATTACGATTGCACATTTTCATTATGATGACCTCTCGTGCCTTATCCTTGGCGTTTCGTTTTATACTTCTCACTAAATAAAAGCAGAATTTCTATTAGATATTAATTGGAAAGTGAACTCAATGCAACTTCAGGTGTTACTTACTCTTGAAATCGTGGAAGAGAATCCTTCGCACAGCTTATCAAAAAGCGTTCAACAGTGTGCAGGGACTCTGCCTTTGTAAAATCTGTTTTTTCACCAAGGGCCTGAGACCAATCAATCAATCAATCAATCAACTTTATTTAACGAGGGTAACACGGGACAGTGCTTCAACTGAGTAACTAGTGGCCCAACTTATTAATCAGCAAATCATGAAAAAGTTGAATACACATGTGCGAAATAATAAAAAGTATTATTTATTTTTATATCATTTTGTGTTCCGTTCGTTTGCGTAAGAGTCATCTCCAAAGAGGTTTTCAATTGGCTTTCACTGTTCTGTTAGACTCTGCTAATTATGTCTTGCTTAAAAACCTAGTTTCAATGTGACAGCTACCTTCCAAAGGTTTAAAATGCTCTGCAAATCTCCACAATCTGTTGAGTCTTGGGATGGATACGCGTGCTCGATAAATAGTCTCACGGCACTAAGGCGTTGCCACATTGATCTGAAATTAAAGCCAAAGTAGCAGAATAAACGGATTGAATAGAAAGCACAAGAACGGTATTAAAACTAAAAAAAGGTACCTGCAGTGTATTAGCATGGACTCAGTCTTTTCTCCAACACGCATCTTGTCTTCGGTCGTCCTTTTGCCGATCATTTCTTCCACTGGAATCTTCACTGACAAAACTGAGTCACACCAAGCCTGTCTCTGTGAGGTGGTCTTTAGTTCCTCAGCATAAGGTTCCATACGTTCCAGGCACATTTGCAGAGCAATAGCATCAACAGTCTGAGAAAGTAATGTTTATTCACTTGTAAATGAGAGAATTATTATGTGGATACGTGCTCGACTGTGTAGAAGGCCAATATAATTCTCCACATATGAGCTCAGTACCGCATGAACAAATTATTTTGTTAGCATTAAAGAGTTTCCGATCGCACGTTCAATGGCTGTAATAAATTTTTAAATAAACCGATACGTACCATTTCGTTTTCTTCCCAAGAAAATATGTTACAAAGGTGCTCTGCAAGGTCAGGCTTGACTTGAAGAAACAAGGCTAAGCAGTTGAGTCGCTGCTGAATACGAGAATGTGCCACATGAATCAGTGCAAAATCCATGGCGAACCTATCATCTGGTGAACGTCCACGGATCTGAAGCTCTTTTGCAGCGGCTGTAATCGCTCTTTGAACAATCTATAGAAGACAAAGGATCTCATAGCTCATCAAATGGTTTAGATATGGACATAGAATCCGCCGTAATTCACTTTTTCAACTTAATTAATCAATGGTTTAAAACGAGGTAACCCACCTAATGAAACCCCCCTAGGAAGAGTATTAACTGTGGGTATACTAATAGTAAATCAATTAGTCAATCAAAGTGCTCTGTGAGCAAACTCGTGAATTGACAGATGACTTAACTTCGCTATCGTACGGAATCGAGCCCGCTGTGTTATCAGCGGTTTAGTTAAAGTTATTGCTTTATATTGGTTATTCTATGTGCTGTTGTCTTGACACAGCGAGGAGTGGATGAGTTTGCTGTTCTAAGGGCCCGCGATGGACTCCGGGTGAAACTAAGTTGCCTTTTTTTCTTCCTTTCTTTTTTTCGTTGTTATTAACGATACAATAGATAAATTATTTGTGTTTTTATCGTTTCGCTCGGTACATGCCCATTTACCGTACCTCAAGGTACTTCAACAACTACCGTTTGAGTAAAATCACTACAAAGTCTGCATGAGGTGAGAACTTGTGCTGCTCGTCGATTTTTAATAGGATTCTTGATGTTCTTATTTTCGGTGGCCGAGTCTTCTTTAACCTTATATCTTCTAATTTAGACCTTTAAATACTTTATTTTAGTTAAGGATGGACAGCAATTTAAAATTAAGTAGCGAGCGTACCTCATTTGCATTTCAATTGTATTTTGCATGCCCAATTCATGAGTTAAAAATGAAGATAAAACGATGTTATGATTGAAACTTCAATGGCCTAGTATTCTCCACAAAGAGCCACATAAGCGTGTTAGTACCGTCATCCATGACAGGTACGTAGATACAGTTTTGCGGATAGTAAACTGCTCTTTGAAGTGATGAGACATAACACTCCTCTTACACAATTACCTCAGTCTCAGCTTCATCTTGAGGTTTGTGCACCATCTGTGTAAAGTCATGCAAATAACGAGCCACTGAATCATCGCCGCCTTTTGAGGTGGCCTCGGAAACAATCTGCCTCACGCTTGAAGCGTCCAACAACCTCCGTAAGCATTCAATGAGGGTTTCGTGAGAATTTTCTATCAATAAATACAGATTTGATGATTACCCAAAACTAAAATGGGCTGTCGAATGAATGTTTATTTTTAATTTTGCCCAAATGAACAAACTCTTATCATTTATAGAGAAGTTTCTAAGCAAAACACTTTATGAGGTTGTTTTTTTTAGTTGGTAGGTAAGAGAAGGATTGAGAGAAGGAACTTATCAAAAACTTTAAGCTTCATACAGGCGAAAGGTCTTCAGAAAGAAGGGGGCTTAATACAGCGCATACGGAAAATAGAGATGAGTCGTGATCGTAGGAACTATTAAAGAATAGAAAGATGTTTAGACCGAGGCCGAGACATATCTTCGATCATTCGAGTGCTAGAAAAGAGTTTAGCTCCAATTCAGTCAATCTAACCTGCAATACTTCTGGCCTCTTGAAACATCTCATCTATCTGTTCTTTGAGGAGCCACGAAAATGGAAACCTGCATTGAAAGGCATGCGATCGATAACCTGATTTTACAACTGGAACTTTGCTTCTGACTTTCTCCACATCTTCCTCTCGAGACATAAACATTCCATAACTGAGATCCGAAAAAGACGCGTCTTCAAAGATGTTCAACCAGAGACGTGATACCCAAGGGTCTTCACTGGCAGCCAGTTCAAGGTTTCCGTCGCGATCGATGTATGCTATGACTTCTGCCAGAATAGGGGCCACCACAGACTGGAAACGGCGCCAAAGTGCTTTTTTGAATGTTCCAGTTTCCTTCACAGTGCACGATTTGGCCTCGTCCTCGAGCCACTCCTTTCCCTCTTTTGGTGCTCGCTGATCTCTTTCTACTAGCAAGACATGGAGTCGTTTTGCCACCACCAGCTCGAAACGGTTGTCATCCTGTTGCCCTAAAAAGAAAAATATCAAAATATTGGGTAACTTTGACTATGAAGCTATGGACGACCTTGTAATTAACAGCTAAATTTCCCAAAAAGCCATTTTGTATAAAATGTATCGATAAGCTGTTCACGTTGTCCCTCAGCAGCATTGTTAAAGAAACAAGCAAAGAATATGGCTGGGATTGATTTTCTTATGCTTTCAGATAACAGTACGTGAACAGTGTTCTTGGGAATGTATTTTCATAGTCTACAAGGCCCCAAAGTAAAAGGGGGGGAGGTTGAATTCATTATGAGCGTTTGGTAAAATTGACCAAGTCCTTGAACAATGGCCCGCCCTATTCATGGACCTTAGGAGTAAATTTGAACTGAGAATATTTCAAGGATCTTACCAGTGCTCGAAAGTAAGTTAAGCAGCAATTCAATCCTTCTAGTTGCCCTTTCAAGCGTTGATTCATCATCCTCGATCTTGCTGGCCGCCATTTGCACGCAACTTGTTAGAACTTGGCTGATAGTAGGATGATTTTCTTTCTTTTCTGTTTCGTTAAGGGCACCCTCGAAAATTTCACTGACCGAACGGTCCAACAGTGCTTCAATCGGTGGTATTTCCTCACTTGGAGGGCACAACTCGTCGATGTGGACAGACAACCATCCTTCACCTTGCACACCAACGAACTCTTTACAGCCCCCTCTGACTCTAGGCAACTGTATGATCATGAGTATGTGACTGGTACCAGTTAAATCCTCGTCCGAATCTTCGGCCATTTCCCCCAACTCCTTCTCCATTTCCCGAAACTCTTCTATGAGCAGATGACGAGAGCATGCCACCAAATTCAGGTTTTGGTGAGCCGAATCGCACTGAACGATTAACAGGCTCTCCCTTCCTCCCTGCTTGGCCCAAAAGTCTCTCCTGATTGACATATAATTAAGACTCGAATTGTAAAATGAATTGACGACTTCGAAAGACGTTGCTTCGTTTCAACAGTAAATAGATAATTCGTGGTAGAGTTTTCCAAAAAAAAAAAATTAAAGTACATTAACGACCAGTACATAAGAAAAATTCAGTTCCTTTAGTTTAGAGCATTTTCTCAAATAAGTGTCCAAGGTTGCGTTCCTTTCCCTTAACTACGCTTTGAGATTGGCTTAGTAGCCTGGCGCTTGACATGACAATACACAGATACGAGTTTGTTAATAATCTTATTTATGCATCCCTATTGCAATCATCACTTATCTAATCAGTCACGTTTCAATTTTGAGTATTACAGATTTATCCTCTTTCGTCGAAAGTATTTGCATTGCCGGATTTTGTAATAGAGCATGAAATGAATTTAGGTATAGTTGTCGTGACTCTATCGAGACAATTTCTTCCACCATCGTTGTTTCTCTTTGAAGCTACATGCCTAAACTTTATGAAAAAGATATTTAAAGCCTGGTTGTTACCCTATTCGGTTGCAGAAATCCTGTTCAGTTTGGAACTCCTTCAGTGAGACACACTTTACTGAACTTGGATGAAGGTTAACAGCACCGGCAATGGAAGAAATGTCTCGTTCTGTCAGAAGACGAGAGTGTGTCGAAATCTGAGGGAAAAATAACGAGAACGTAGTTCTTAATAGAGTGATACCATATTCCTCTCATTCGCGAAATTCAAGATCGATTTAGTTACAGAGTTGTGCAAAAGATTTTAAACCAAACTTGGAAAAATCTGCCACAGCTTAAATTTTTTTCAGAGATAATCTCCTAAATAAGAAATTCTCGCGAACTGATTGATGAGAATTTGGGGAAAAATTGTAGCTGGCATTATGCGAGAGAAATTCAGTGGCCGGACATTTGCTTTTTATGCTCGAGTATATAGATCTTCAACAGTAATTTTTAATCCTCACCCATGTTCTTCCCTCAGACAGTCATGTCGAAACAAAGGACAATTTTTATAGATTAAACCAACACTTAAAGGTAAGCCAACGGCGGAAACATTTTTTAAGAAAGCTGATGTTCTTACTTGGGCACGAAATGATGCATTAGACATCCCATCGGCACCAAACTTGGCAGCCCCGACTACTTTTTCTAAAAAGTTGGCCAGGCTTGAGTGTTCTTGCTTGTGAAAGTACTTCGTCCATAATTCGTCTGCGTTTGGGCTCAGACGTGAGAAACGGAGACGAGTAACAGAGTCGGGAGTCGCACACTGTAGCAAACGCTCCTTACATATGCTAAGCACCTGAAGGAAAATAAAACTTTATGTACACACAAACACGGTATCCCTGCCTCCACCCTGCTATATATTCGTCATCAATCTGAAAG